AATTCGAAGGCTGCTCGAAATGCGGCCCTCAAATGCGTCCTTCATTTCCCTGAATTTTAAGGACGTGGTGGTGTAGACTTCGTGGCCCAACATATCCCAGAATGCATAGCGCGGCGGTGGGTGTGGATAATTTTGCCGGCGGATGAGGGGCACCCGAAGAGTAAACTTTAAGTAAGTACTTTAAGTAAGTACTGAATATTATGTCACTTATTTATGTGCAAATGTTTAATAACGAAGAACATTAAAACATTCCTGTTGGCCACATGTCGGCAAAGTTACGTGACATTGGTGACGTTTGTACTAACTTGGTTTTAAAGCCTTTACTTTAAAATATACGCCGTTCAATAGCTGACCTTAATCTTACAGAGAATGATCAAAGCTCATGTAGAAACAAACAAACAAATGAACAAAAGATTTTCTCCTTCATTTCTGTCAAACAAAGCTGTATGACACGTTTCCAGCTGTCAGTATCATGGTTGCTAGGCAACCTGGGCAGCGCAACGGAGGCTAGACCGTCCCATTTCACAAGCCCCGCACTTCCGGCCTTAGCAGTCTTTAAGTACGCGGCCCTTGAGGACCGTTGAGGCTGTGTACTTTAAGGCTGCAGACCCTGAATTGGGATACAGCCATAGTGTCTCATAGTTTGTCGTAGTGTTTCATGTTTTTTCATAGTTTTCATAGTTTTCTTAGTTTACTTGTTTATCTTTTGCCACCAGCCAATAAAGGCTTGTTTTTGTTCAAACTGCAACTTCTCTTTCAGCATCTGCTTTTGGGTCCTGTTTCCAAAGCACTGGCGCACCCCGCCGGGACACAGTGTGACACAGGAGTGGTTAGCCTCACAGCAAGAAGGTTCCAGGTTCAAATCCACTAGCTTGTTAGGGGGTTTCTGTGTAGCTTGTTGCAATCCCAAGATGTGCGTGTTAGAATAACTGGTGATTCTAATGGGTGAATGGCTGTTTGCCTCCCTGTATTAATCCTGCAACAGACTGGCAACCTGTCCACAGTGTACACCGCCTCTTGTTCCATCGCAGCTGAGATAGGCTCTATTTCACCATCCTAAATTGGATAAACAGGAAAAAAAGTAGTGAGTGTAACGATTCAAACAATAAGGATTGGTTGAATTGTTTTCATGTAAAATTCTACAAATGCCCTCAAAAGGCTTGTTTGGTGTTGTTAACATATACTCTAAAAAGGTTAAAAGCAACATGGTTTTGTGAATGTACTGCTCTCATTACATAATTACATTACAATATAAGTGTGCTTGAAAAAATGGATCATACTGGATATGCAGCTGCCTTTCTTTTGATGTATTATGAAATCCTATTTTATTTCTCTTCACCAACATTTTTTCCTAGAAAAAAAAGTCCTGTATTCTTCTATTTTTGCCTCCTGAAGGTTTTGTGCAATGGAAAATATTTCTCCTCTCTGTAACAGTCATGCTAATAATTTCTTCTCTTTGTGTTTGCTCATCAGACACATGCTGCTTGGCTCTTGTTTTCTCTCTCCTCTCCTCAATATTTCATGCCACTGAAAGTGCATCTATTCTCAGCGTCCCCATGCCCTACCACCTCCTGACTGTCAAAACATAATTTTCTATCATTCGACACCCCTCCACCTTCTTAACCCTCTCTCTGCCACTCGGTCTTCCAACAAGAGGCCATTACTGTATGTACGTGTATTAAAGTTATCTAAGGTGTTGTTTGGGTTTATTTCGGACTTCGGACTAAACCTGATGCAGCCAAACACAAAACTGTCCTTTTGTTAATATGTACAATGCACCATATGTGATTTTCAGAGTTTTACTTCTCTCAGTTTCACAAAAACTACATGGCCTAAAAATTATTTATTTAAAATATGACTTTTTGTTATTTCAGTCCACCTTCAGATGAACTCTGGTGACTTGAGCCATTAAGTTTTTACCAAAACGTTCCTGCCGCCAGTCATGTCCATAATAACACACAGCAAATTCTGGTCTTTGGAATAAACTCTCTGGGAGTTCAGATTAACTACATTTGAGTGTACATGCGTGACCATCGAATAAACTCTAGTGCAGAGTTAGAGTAACTCTTTTCTGGGAGTTGATTTTTCAACTCTTTATAGGAGTTAAAACTAAACTCTCATGGAGTAAAATTTCTACTACCATAAAGAGTAAAATGTAACTCATAACTAGAGTTCATTTTGATATTAACTCTTTTATAGTGTTACTCATCAAATGAAAAAAGGTTTTGGGTGACAATTACTACAAAAACACAATACTGATTATTATGAATGTATGAATTTTATTTATCAAAAGTATCATATTCAAAATTCAATGGACTAACATACATTCTGTGTAACAGCACTATAATAGTGTAACATTCGACATTAAAACAGCAACAATTATGGCAGCTAAACAGTTGAGACATTGTGTGGTCAGATAGGCCTAATATTGGGGGAAAAAAACGAATTAAAGAAAAAAAAAAAGACTACAGAATAAGCACTTATTGTAATGCAGTGTTAACATGAAAAAGACTCTATAAGGTCTCCATTAAGCCAACAAATTAAATAATGCAACTGTCTGACACGACATACAATTGTGAATCACACCCATATGACATTTGGCCATCAAAACTTTTGAAATGTCTTAACTTCTCCCTTTCTAGGACCAGTATCTTCTTAGGAATGGTTTCATTTACCTGATAAGCATGAAAATGATCATGGAAACACGTTTCATGCTCAACCATAACAAAAACAGCTTTACCATCATGTAAAATGATTGAAGTTATCTTGCTGAAAACCGGCATGTTTTCATAAGTGCCTGTGCAAACAAAAAGCCCAACACGATATTCAACTCCACTACACTTTACCCAGTTTGTGAGTTTGACAGTGTTCTGTAAATCAACATGAAGATATGGAGATATAATTTCTGAGTATTCTTGTGTTTCAAGTGAACGCATTTTAACTGGACCAGACTCAACTTCTTTTAAACTCATACATTCCCAATGATAAGCTAATGCAAACTGATGTTTCCTTGCAAGTGATACAGTCAAATTCTTAAAGTTCTTAACACAGTCTTTGAAAAATTTGTGTTTGGCTTCAAATCTCATGGTCCAGATATGAATGAGAGGACCAATCTTTCGAATGCACCTTGGATAGTGGACCATGAAATGATGTTTTGGAATTAAGTTGTTTGATGGGTATAGTTCCTTAAAGAGTCTATGGTGTTCAATAATCAGGTGCTTTAAATACACAGTCATTCCTTCAGTGATAGAGTATGAGAAAACTATGTTTAGAATGTGCAACAACAAAAGCAACAAATGCCAGTGCAAATCATCCTCTGGTACCAGGTCACCAAATATCAAAGGTATGTTTGTGATCAAGCAAAGTGTTTGTGATGCATTTAAACCTATTCCATGCCCTGCACGATCCAGGTTAATATTCGTTGGTTTATTTTTCTTTTCCATATAGCCGTAATTAAAAGCATATATCCTATTTAACAAGCTATCTTTAGAGATGAAGTATTCGATTAAATATTGAAATAGCAACTTGACTTCATATTGACCAACCCCTTCCAAAATATCATGCATGATGTCAACGGCATAATTTTCCGCAATATTGAAATATTTTAATGAATTAAGTATGCTCTTTCTTTTTATGCCGAATGAAGATGTTAATGTTGGATCATCTACCAAATTATTATAATGTTGGTTATTCAGAATTGGTGATCTAAGAGTTAAACATGGGTCGTCCTCTGAGAAAACTAATTGAGCTGAAGACTGATCAATTAAGCAAAATCTACAAAAATAATTAGCTCTAAACGATTCCAAAAATCCAAGAATGCTATGCATCCCCAAGTTATCACCTGTAATTTGTGCCAGAGTACCAAATACAGGAAATTTAGCAAATGGAACAGCAATCCCACTCGTCTCTAATATTTTCAGGTCCTTTACTAGGGGCTTCAGGATTTCATCAATTCCATATTTTTTTGCGTCTTGTGCATAAAATAATGATACCAGATGAATGTTCATTAAAGCCGAATTCAGACTGGGAAGAAGATTTCTAAGGATGAAGTAAAGGCAGCCAACTCTGTGTATACCCTTTTTTGAACCTAAAGGATTTGCACACTCAAATTCGTCATAGTACAATTGGACTTGGATAGCAAACTTGCTACCTGAAAACAAAGGATGACTTTTGAAGTAGCTTCCATCACAGAAGTCCTGATATGTGTCAGACTGGGTGCATATTTGCATCATCTCACAAATACTTTCATTCTTAAAAATGAACTGGAGTGTTTTCAATATGGGAATATATATGAATTTGTCATTTACTGGGACTTGCTCATAGGTTCTAGTTTTGGTACATCGTCTAGTATCGTATCTTACTCCTAGGTGCAATTCAACTGGCTGTACCATTTCCCACTTATCTCTAAAATATTTTTTACATTTGCTTTCAGAATTCAAGTGACTAAACGGATTGTCCAAATTTTTAAATAAATCTGCAATGGCTGATCTGGAGGGACTGTCATTTGGTAATAGGGTCAATAATTGTTCCTGAATATTAGATTGCCAATCTCCCACAAATTCCTCTAAGTTCTGAACTGTAGAAAGAACTACAGTATTTGGTACACCACTTCCTAAAAGTCTGGCAATAATGGAGGCAGACATGTCCTTGCTCTGATTTGAGAATGAAGGGCCTGCTTCAGAATTTTGGCACTGAGATGATGTGGATGGTGTTTCATCATTTAAGCACTGAGAACTACTAAACTGTTGGGTATCATGGTCAGAAGGGGTCTCATGAGGAACACATGTGCTAACAGTAGCATGTATCTTATTCAGATGTCTTCTAAATCCAGAATAACTTGAGAATTGTAAACAACATCCTATCTGACCACATTTTAGTTTCAAATTTTTGCCAGGATACATTCCATGAACTAGTTTTAAATGTCTGAACAAAAGTAAAGCTGTAGCAAAGGATAAAGCACAGAGAAAGCAGGTCAACATTTTGAATGCATAACCTGGTTACTACTTATTCAACAGCTTTGCTCGCAACTCTTTGACTCTTGGACTTTCCACTGTTGTGCCTACATCAATATTGTACACAGTGGTCTGCAAAAATGTGTACAGGCTGGACAGAGCGTCTTCATATTTCACACTGAAAACAAAGTGGCACTTGAACAGCTCATCAAATGCACCCAGTGATGTGCCTGACTGACATGGAAGAAGCTTTCGATCCAAGACTATGTAGAAGCTGAAAACCTGTGCTTTTGAAGTCCCTGTGGCCAGGAGATATGGCTGAGGGTTTCCTTCATTGTTCATGAGGTGATCCTCAAGGCTCTGGCAAGACTGAAACACAATAAAAAGCATCACTTTATAAACCCTTAGGTTAAGAAAAAGTGTTCCATGAACCACAGTATCTGGAACTGGATCACATTATCTTGACAAACCTTGTGAAATTTAACCAGATGATCTATTGCCTCTCCAACACTCATCTTCTTTGGCCGTTTCCTTCCAGCTGGTTGTGGCGTGAGAAGGTGCAGCAGAACAAGAAGAGAAGCCATGTCGCTGTCCCACTCTGCAGACAGTGTTAAGGAGTTAAATACTAATGCTGGAAAGGGGAGACAGAACTGAACTTCACTAACATATAAAAACTGGTTGAGGGTATGAGCAGAAAATAAGTGATCCATACACACATTATCCACACTGCTGCTTTTTTGATAACTTTTAAAAATGAAAACTAAAATTACTACACTAATAAAGTGTTACTTTAGGACACTACCTGGCTCATCAGCATCATCCATTTCTTCGTTCAAAGCAGATTTCAGCAATCTTTTCAGAAGACAAGTCTCTTTAAGGTCTCTGGCTTCCCTGGCAACCTTGTCTTTAAAACTGGTGTTCCATTTTTCCAGGAACCTGGAAGCAGTCTCTACTCCAAACATCATTGCAAAGTCCTGCAAAATCTAACAAAGGAGAAGTATGTCCATTAAAATCAATTTTTTTAAGTCAAGTATTTTCAGATCCCCATTTGTTTACCTACCAGTCCTTTAGTGTCCAAAAACCGAGGAAACATCTGAAGAATGTTTGCTGATTCTTGTGGGTCATGGAGTATCTGCTGACGATAGTAGAATGTCTCTCTCATCTTCTGGAAGACTATATCTTGGTCAGTGGTGTGATGAAGAAGAGACATGGCTTCCATACATTGATCTCTTGTTTGCTGGTCATTAGTGAAACCAAACTTCCTTCGTGATGTGGGCCCTCCTTTCAGTTCCACCCTGTTCTGTGATGCAGTGGGGGGTTTGGATTGACGTTGCACAGTCTTGATACGCCACTCAAGAAAACCTTTGTTGCTCTGAATGTCATAGAAATGCTCCTACAGAAAGAAAGAAATTGCATACATTGTAGAGTGTGTATATATATTTATATATATGTGTAGGGAGGGAGAGAGAGAGAGAGAGAGAGAGAGAGAGAGAGAGAGAGAGAGAGAGAGCAAGTCTTATTACACACTACAGTTGCAGAGCAAACTCACATATCCCTTTTTGGAGTACGGATCCTTCAAAGATGGGAAGAGTGACACGATTCCAAGTGCATGAAACTCCTTCGTTGCTTTACTTACAGTTCTCCTGCAAAAGCAGAAGTGTTTTTTGATAAGATCCTTGCCAGTTTTAAAAATGAATAGAATAAACAAGCTACAATGATGTTCACCATTAATCGCCTGGTGGAATCTTTCAAACTCCCAGTTTTTTCATACTCATGGATGACAGTCACCCCTGCTGGTTTGGAAGTCAGAATCTGCTCCACTGTCTAAACACATTTGATACAAAGAACAAAAAAATTGACAAAAAATGAGACTATTTTAACCCAAACAACAATTTCAATCTGTGGATTATACATATGAACTACATGAAATACTATATCAAATTATTTTTCTCTAATCTGTTTTATCTTCGTGTTTAAGCTTTTTCAAGTAATGACAACTAAAGAGTCAAATACAAGTCTATTAAGTAATGTATCTACATTTCTTGCATGTATGCTGTCCAATAGAGGCTGAACCATTTGAAGTCCGGCATCGCTTGTGTCACTGCTCTGACTGCTGGTGGTTGAGACAGACAATGTATCTGTTAGACTTGGAGAGGAGGGCTCTTCCACATGTTGCTTCAGGACAGTCAAATCTGAGGGTGACAAACAAAAATATTACAAAATAAGGCATATACAATCAAAAATCAACCACAACAAAGCTACCATTTACGCACATAGGCACATACGTAAATTGTATGCTTTGATTAAATTATACTTTCTCCCAGGAGAACAGATGGTTATTTTGTATTTTATTATGGTAATATACAATTTACATACCACAAGGTGTGAGTGTCACATAGTGTGTTAGGTCTGAGCAGTCACGCAGCTTCTTGGATGATTCTGTTTCCAGGATGTCTGAAATGCATGTGATAAATCCAACTTACTGTTGAGCCATGAAAGCAGCATTTTGTGATTGTTACCACAGGATATTAGACAAATTAAAAAAGGTTTATTTAAGAGTAACTGTAGAAATCAAATCCCACAAAATCTATCAGAGCATATATTTACTTACCTTCAGCTGTATAGATGACAAAACACACCTCTTTGACTCCTGCAAGTTCAGGAAAGACATCCTCATCCACCTCTATACCCTGCTCATCTGTGACTTTCAGTGCTGCATTTTCTGGTATGAGAAACTTCTGCTGCACTGAAGTAAAATCATCACTTAGTTAATAACAACATTATCATTTCCTCTTTAATGACTTGGTACAAACCATGTATAACTTACCTGCACTCATAAAATCTGTGAAGCTGACTTCTTCCAATTTGACATATTTCTTTGTCTCTCTGTGTTTTACTTTTATCAACATCTTGGCCACCTATGGAAAAAACCTTTACTAATATGAAACATAACATGTGGAAGAAGAAGAGGCTGTTTATGATAACTTTATGTGAACTGTGTATAACGTAATCCATAAACACTTTCTAACATTGAGCTAGCCTGTCCACACTAGCTACTGCTTAAAATCTATTTAGCTAGGCTAGGTTTAGCAGACAATGTGACCGCATGTTTGCCGCGTCCTTGTCTTTTCAGGTGTGGCGAGTGGCGACAGGGTTGTGTGCATATCTGTGAAGCAGGACTAACTAACTTATGTTAATGGTACCTTGATATCTCATTAATGCAGGCTGCACCTCTCTTTGGTTAAATACGGCCATTACCATGAGTCTAAACATAATATTACTGTAGTTAGCTAACGTTAAATGAAACATTAGTGTTTAAAAAAAAGAAATACAAATGAACGTTTTCATTGACAACGTGAAATGTGTATCTTCAAATACAGTAAGATAAGTTAGTTAGCTAACTTTTGACTAATGTTAGCCTAGCTGCTATCAACGAATCAGCGTAACATGCAGAAAACACGTGTAGTGCTAGTTAGTTAACTTTATATTTTACTTATGCATCCATGTAACTGAATATATATATATATATAAATAACATTACTACACTCACAGAAAATTCCAAAATAAATAAAGTATTTTTACCTCCTACATGTCGGAGTCCAAGAGACAAGCACAGATAGACAGGGTAACGGTCGACAGACAAACAACACCAGCAATGTGTTGAATTAGACTCCTTAGCACTCAGTGAATGAACACCTAAATATTACACCGCTTGAGAGTACTCCCCAACACTAACTGTAGTATAAGGTGAAAAATAAACTCCTGGAATGTAACTCTTGTGCACTTTTATGCCTTACTCCAAAATATTTAACTCCAGAGATTTGCTGTGCAGGTTTCTGGCAAAGTTGTAATTTGTTTCCCCCTGAGGGTTTCCATTTGGAAACCAGCATCAAATATTGCAAGGTGTATGGGTTACCACACCTATAACAAAGTGGGCTGTGACCCAGAACTTGGCCTGCCACACTATGCTGACACCTTGTTCACATTTCATCCAGTTTCATTATTTCTTTATTATGAAGCAGCATCTACTGGAGTTTACGTGTGTTCCACACATACAGTACATACCATAAAGGTATCAGCATGACTTCAACAGAGGGTCAAATAGAATCTGAGTCTCCAGTTTTCTACAAATCTCTGATGTTGGAAACGGACAATCTGACAAAAAACAAGGGATGACAAAAAAAGTAGGATCTGAGTATCTCTTTTAAGCTTTACTTCTTTGATTTTTACCAGAATACTTCACTGATGTGTGAACAATCACACAGTATTTCAGGATCTTGTTTGAAAACCAGCATTTCGGACCATTGCGTGTTCATTTATAGGTTTTTGACTAGTATATGTATCCATCCATCCATTCTCTGCCTCTTATCCTTTTACAGGGTCGCAGGGGGGGGGGGGGCTTGAGCCTATCCCAGCTGTCTTGGGGCGAGAGGCAGGGTACACCCTGTAACCCTAACCCTAAAGGTTGCCAGTCTGTCGCAGGGCTAACACATACACACAGACAACCATTCGCACTCACATACACACCCGCATTCACACACACCAGCCATTTGTTACTGGGCTGGGGGACAGCCGAACGACAGTCACCTGGTGCTAAATAACTATTATATTTAGCTTAGCAAAATAGCGTCACATAATTAGAAGGATTATTTCTTTGCATCAAATAAAACAACAAACCAGGCTAAAGCTACACGAGCCTGTTATGGTCAAAAACTGCGCAGGATGCTTTTGGTCTCGGTGGACTTCACAGGCCACAAACAGTAATGGTCCTTTCAAGCTATCTAAGGAAATATCATTTGCAGAATATCAGACCAATTTACAGTCACTTATGAGTGAAAATGAGGTCTCTGTTTCAGAATCAGTAAGTCATCATCTATCTATCCATGATATGTGTGCTATTTAATGAGGAAAAGTGGAGACTAATATGAAAAGTGGGAACCCATTGCAGAGGGAAACCCTGTAAAGCAGCCAGGATTTGCAAGCACTACAGTATAGGTACAACTGCTGGAGTATTAAGAATTAAGAAAAAAATAAACATGTAGTAAATTAATAAAAGCCATCAGTGACACTGAACTGAACATGGTGACTTTGTGTCCCAAAGAAATCTTTCAGTTTTTCCAGGCGCCGCTGGAGTTACACTGATGTACATTGTGCTGGCTGTGGGATGACTGGACACTGGAGAGGTTACAGTCTTCTTTTTAAGAGCAGTTAAGTTTGAAAATGGAACAGGGTGGCAGAGGTCCAGTTTTCAACAAGGAGACTGCAGTTAAAGTCCAGTTTTGGTGCTTTATGTTTCAGACTTGTTACCCTAGTTTTCACTCGCTGGTTATTTGTGGGCAATTAAAAGGATTTTCAGGTTTAAGAAAATATTTATTTTGATTTGTTTTAAAACTGTTTTACTTACCTAGAAGGGTTTGCCAAATGGTTATTTACAAGCAGGAGGGAGTGCCAAAGACTTGGAGAGTATAGGCACAAACAACAATGACTCCTTGGGTGTTTCTATGAGATGCCAGTGGCTGTGATAACACATCAGCAATTGACGCCCTGGGAATGAATTGGGACGGCGTGAACCCCCAGATGCTGACATGCAGAAATGCTGGAACGCCCAGGGGATCTAAAGAGGTGAACAAACTTTGATTTATTAAGAGGCAGTGCACCTTTGAATGTCAATTCATTCCCTCAATTATTCCAGTATTTAATTTCTCTCTAAACAGATTGCTTTGACAGTTCATCTCCCTGCTTCTGTCCTTTACAACCATTTAGCACATCACTCTCTTCTCCAGGCCCCATCCCAGCGTCCATTTCCTTGCGCTGTCTTTTAATCGCAGCCTGATGCTGAGGAACATTATTCTTGATTGCTCGGCAGATGCCATTGTCTTGGGCTTATATCTTCACAATCACATTAGCCATTTGCACAGCTGGGTACTCACTGAAGCGAGGCAGGTTAAGCACTACACTCGAGGGGACGATGGTGGCCCACCTGGAGTTTGGGCAAGGCCTGTCCTCAGCTTCATGCCATTAACAAAAACACTGCTGGCCTTGCTTCCATTTGGCTAATGCCTCCATACCTCCCTTCCCCACCTTCCTTTTCTCAGTCTCAACATGTTGCCTCCAGATTTTCACCAGTTTGTCTTCATTTCCTTCTCTCACACTTTGTAACTTTCTAACAGTTTTAAACCTACAAAATATATGTTCATGACAAATAAAACAAAAAAGCAGTAGGATGAGGGAGGGTTGACAAGGTGACACACTGTGACACAGGGATACACACTTTTACTTTTTACACAGCGCTTTTTATTTGTCTACGTTACCAGGTTCAAAAGGCTCCTGCCTCTGCTGTTATTTTTTTTTCCTGTCACACTTAGTTTATATTCAAAGTTTGACATTTCACTAGATTAACTGATTAATCAAATAAATTGTTGTTTACTGACACCGCCACTGGACATTAAACTCAATCAAGGCAACCTCATTTTAATCCATTAACATTAAAGCTGAGATAAATCCAGAATGAGATGTAGGGAAAAGAAGAACAGATGGGTGTAGAAAATTAGAGCTAGCACAGATAGAAGCCAGGAGGAAGAATAAAGAGGTCCCGCTGAGGAACAAACCAGCACATCGTTTTAACTGTAATGTTGCTTACAATGGGAGTAAAGTAGGCTGAAGAATGAAATCAATAATGAGCGAACGAGGATGCATGAAAGCATTGAGGTTGATTGATGAGAAAAAATTATCAGAATAATCAATATGCCTATAGCTGCTGTTCATGAATTAATCACAAACACAGTCACAGTTAAGGTAACGAGCCGTGCTACTATAGTATGTATCAGTGCCTACAGCAAAATACAAGCTGTGCAGCTGCAGAGGCTGCGTGAGGCAATAAACACGTATAAACAGTGCAAAAGAACAAACGTGTTCAATAAGTTATGATACCGAGAAGCTTCACTCGGTCACATGATCAGAATACACTCAAAGCACATTATAAATCTGCAAAATCGGAGCCTCTGGTGGTTGAGACGAGCCGAAACATATGAAATGTCTTTCTGTGCATTTTCCCCTCACTTTCTCTGGTACTGTGCGGTCAGGACCCGCAGCAGGAAGCAAGAGATCATTGGTTCAAGTAGAGGGGGAAGAATATGCTCCTCGTGGATACACCACTTCTTTCCTCCTGAGTGAGAGGTGACAAAAGGATGACAAATGTTGGAGTGGATGGAGGTGAGTGATCCAGGAGAGCTGCACAGATAGGTGGCGGGACAGAGAGAGGGAGTGGGGGGGGAGAGAGTTGGGGGAGAAAATAAAGTGATGGTACTTGCTCTTTCATCCACCCCTTTACTCCAGTCGCCACGGCAACATGCCCGGAGGGCACTCAAGAGAGGCGTCATCACTGACAAAAACAACAGAGAAGCGGGGAGTGAGTGAGAGCAAACGAGAGCAAACTAGACAGACGGTGTGTATGAATGAGAGATGAAAGAGTGGAAAGTAGGCAGCAGATCTACAACCGACTCAGGCTGCGTCTCCTCGCTCGCAAAAAATTCTGACCTTCAGGGACTCGGCTAAGAAGTGTAATGAGCATTCATTTATCATCGGCGGTAATTCAGATTAATGTTTGGATCGCTCAGCAAAAAGTTGCACCGACAGAGTCTACGACCATGTTTATGGGTGTGACTATCACTGATATCCCCTCCAAAAAGGGACACCATTATGAGATATGAAATTGGCAGAGTTAATCAAACCGAGGCTAATGCTTAATATTTGGAATTAACTGAGCCATTAATACTGCGGGCAACCATTAGGCTAGATAGAGTGGTTAAACCACCACCGGCGAAATTAAACAGGTTAATTAAAGTCTCCAAATTTTCATACGCTCCCCCTCGGTCTATATTTCACTGTTTAACACACACACATAAGCACACAGATACACTCACACACACATATAATTACTCAGACACATGTGTTATTACTGTACTTGTAATGGCCTTGCACTCACTGTATTAATTTTCTAATATTAATGTGAATCTTATTTCTAGCCGTAACCTTAAAGGGATAGTTTACCCCCCAAATCAAAAATACATGTTTGTTTTTTTTCCACTGGCGTGTTGTGTTGTTTGTCCCTCTAGATTATTTTGGTGTGAGTTGTCCAGTTTTTGAAATGTTGGTTGTAGAAATGTCTGTCGTTTACTGAATATAATAGAAGAAGATGGCTAAAAAAAAAAAGGAAAATGGAAAAATGGAAAACCTCAGCAGCCTCAGCTGCCTGTCTTTTTCCACAAATCATGATCTGGCATTTCAAAAAAGATAAATCAGTTTGATACAGGAGCTGTACCATTGGGTAAAAGAAGTGTGTATTATATACCTATTGAAAGCACACAATCTCTGGACTTCAAGAGCAAGGCTTGAATCTGACGT